CAAAAGCAATTTCTATATTTATATTGACAAAAATAATTGTGATATGAATATATTGATTTATTTAAAGCATTATATGTACAAAAAAGTGCTATCGTAAGAGTTCTATGAAACCCTGTAAGCCACTGCTGTAAGCCAACGTATGATTTCAGCAGCCAGTTTCTTATGAGCACCAGCAGAATGTAAAATATTCATTGAATATAATGAAGATAGTTGTTCAAATAACAATTTTGATTTATTTAGGCCGTTTATTTCATAAGCAAACCAATTTTTAACATGATCGAATAGTGTAAAAAAAAGGGTGACTATAGTTCAATCCTACTAAGCCAACCTTCGGCTTCAGTAAGCCACCGGATTTCACCGGACCAAAAGCAATTTTTATATTCAAATTAACAAAAATAATTTAATAATACATAATTCTATTAATCATTATTAAAATTAAATAAAATTACTACAATGTTTTAAGCATATTAAATCAAGTAAATATCTCATTTACTTGCTCGTTAAAATCCATGCAATTTCGTAAGCCAACAATCCAAGCACGACAAATAGCCCGACCGATAGATCGAATTGATCGATTAGTCCTATTATTCTAGTTATGTGGTTTGGAGCAAGGGGAGACATTACTGAAAATAATTAAAAGTTGAAAAAATTGAGGTTCTTTGCATATCTCTGCTTCAACCCATAAGAAGGTGTTGTATGCTGGTAAATAGGCCTCACCTTGCTTAGTACCCGTTGAGAAATGTTATAGTTCAATTTCTAAAACTAAATAAATCTACCCGCCGGTTATGAAGTAAAAATTTAAAAAAATAAGCGGTTTTTTGAAGAATTTTAATTTTTAAATGTTAATGACTTTAAAATTGAAAAACATGAATGAAAAACGTTTAACGAAGAAAAGAATAATTCATACAACATAATGTTATAGTTCAATTTCTAAAACTAAATAGATCTATCCGCCGATTATGAAGTAAAAATCATGGAATTATATAACTGGAAGCGCCCTACCAGCGTTTTAACATTGAAAATTTTTTTCAACGGCAAGTTACCTCTGGAAGCAAGTTTCTAAAAATTAATAATTTGTTTTAAAAGTGAAACTATCTTTTTAACAGATACGTTTAAAATTTTGTTACACATTTTGTAATGTATCATATTTTTATAACTTTATAGAGGTTTTGTGGTTTTTCTAGTAAAATTTGGTTTAAAATTTTTATTTTAAACTTTTATTATAAGCTTTTATTATTTAGTTTAACTTTTAGTTGTACCGTGGGAGAAACTTATGAGTCTCTTTAAACTGTTGACTATAAATAAATATTGCTGGAAAAACCACTTTGCCGTCTCCGAGATTACCAAAGACTTCTCTATTCTTCAAATTTGAACCATTGTTGTTGTAATTATTTTAATCAGAAAATTTTATTAATTTTTAAATAGTACTCCGTCGTCTCGTAAAGGAAAGCAACCAAAGATATTATATATATAAGGATTGAAAAAACATACAACGAATTAATTGTCGTTGGTTGATACATCAGATTTCTATGCTTATATGTAAATGTATGAGGCCAGCTTTTATAATTTTGAAAATCAATTTTCTCGTAATTAAATTGTAATACAAAACTTGCTGTCACCCAGTGGCACGAAATCAACATTACTAGGTGACAAAAAATCAACGCTGGGTAGCATTTTTGTCACCCAGTTACAATGTTACACGAGGCCCTGAAAAAATTAGAATAAAAATTAAATTAATATAAAATTATATTATAATTTAGATAAGTTATATTTATAATACTTGAATGTAATAATAAAATATAGTATTTACATTTCTGTAATAAAATAAGTAATGCATATAAATTCAGAAGGTTTACAAGCAACCCAGCATGCAGCTATGGGAAAATCATTCCTGAAAAGACGAAAAAATGAACACAACCGCAAAAATTTCATGATCACATATAAGAAAATATTTTCATAGAAATGAAAAAATTACGACAGTTTTCAAACAGATTCTTTACCATGAAGTTCGTAAACAATTTTTCGTCCACGTAGCATTTTCTTAATACTTAACATTTAACAGGCAACTCCTTGCACTCCATCAACTCATCAACTTCATCCTCACACTCAATCCATCATTCTTTCAATGTTGCCTCTTGACGGAAATTTTCGCTGGTACACAAATCTGAACAATTCATAGAACACAGCAAAAACAGCAAATTTGAAGAGTCTCCAGTTACAGTGAGTTGTCTGGGTTACGTTTAATCCAAATTTACGGATAGATGAAAGAATAATTGATGTCCAATGGATTAATGAACTGGTTGACGGTTTTACAAACCAATCAACGCCCTTGTTTTTGACGTTATTCGTATGCAGTGCCGCATTAACCAGTGGTTGTTGGTAATTCGCCATGCAAGACACACGCATCTGGGCATTAGTAACCTGTCAGAGCATTAGCTAATGTTCGATCGATTGGACACAGAGTGACCATGTAGTGTAACAATAAATATTCCAAGGAAGGAGCAGTTATGAAATATATGAATTGGTATCATTTACTTGAACAATCCAATAAAAGTTTAGTAAAACAATGATATAATCTAGTTGAGTTAATGCATTGTTCAACATTATACTAAATGATCCGTTGCTATAGTTATATCATTAACAAATCTCGTAATACAAATTAATGGACACGAAGCTAATGGAACGAATCAATTTAAGACCATTGACCATTAGTGTAGATATTCACAAAGTTATTCACAGTGTCAACGGCATTTATATTATGACCGCCCACGCCTTGATATAGGAAGTGGATATCGCTTGGATGTCACTTGGTAAATCTGAACTTTTATAACATGTTTGTATATAGATCGTCCTCACATCGCAGACTTGAGTTTCTTGTTTATCCTACTTCATTTTATTTCACGTTTAAGTTTTCATTTTGTAGGTGTTCTCGTATTTTTTCAGGTTAAACAAACTCTTTTCCTATGGTCTTCGTAATAATTATTACAACATACTTCGTAATAGTTATTACAACATACTCATTTGGTAAAGATGTCAGAACCAAAATGCTTACCAACAGTCCTAACTTAAAATTTTGTTGAAACGCTTCTGATGCATTCTTCATATAAAAATACTATATTAAAGCTATATAGAATTATTTTAAAGGTGGTTGTTATATATATTTAAATATATTTGTTGTCTGATTTGAGGTTTGTGTTGCGTCACATTTGAAATCATACTAACACTGATCGTTTATCTAACAGATGAGCGTTCGTGTGACGTTTTGTTTGGAATCAAGTCGCTAAGGTATGAGAAGATATCGTAAATGTCGTTTGTGTTGTTCAAATAAATATTATTATATATGTAAACTTACTTATAATATTAGTCATAATAATGAAAAATTATGATCATAAGGACGTATGGTTATGGTAGCGGAAAAATTGCCGGTCATAGTAGGTGTAGTCAACGTCGTTGAACTGATAACAAATATTGATAAATAATAATAAAAATCAATAATAATAATATTAATTATTACTGTTTAATGATAAATATTTCGTTCATCGACATCTCAAACAACCACAACAAACCCACAAAACAGCGAGTATACAGCTGGACAACACACAACTGAACAATAACACCCAGCAATAAGCTTACAACAACATGTAAACCTAACATACACACACACAAACACTCAAACACACACACGCACACACACACACACGCATACACACATCAAAACAAATTTGATGTCTTAACACCGGAACTAACAATAACGACGCAGGCTGTTGATGACTGACACGATTAGCAAACCATTTGATCGTTCCGTAGATTACACCCAGCGCGCCTGTGCCTCGTTATAATTTCACATATGATACATGTAAGCGTTCGATTCTCCGTTAAATGTTTGGCTTCGGTTTTCGCCTTATATAAATGATGACCCGTTAAAACTAAATAAAATTGTTCTATCTGGAGATTTTTGAAATTTTATTTTATTCTCGTTGAGATAAATTTTCTTGTTACAAATAGTTAATGTTTATAAGAAAAAATTTAAATTAATAAATTGGCATCTGTAGCATCTTCCATTCCATCTACATTCAAATAACATGATAGAAAGTGTTCTGATAAAAGGTAGGGTTTTCAAATGATTCATTTTGTATTTCATTTATACTCAACTGTTCTAACTAGTCTTACGCTAATAATAGAAATATTTAGCTACAAATAATTAAAAAATTAATCTAATCAATAATGTTACTTGATAGTTTAAAATGTTTTTAAATATACTGTACTGACATAATTTTCTATATCGTTTAAAATGTTAAGTGGATTTTATTACAGAGAGGAAGAATTCACGCTTGAAAGTTTTTACCAAATTTTTATCAAAACTGAAAATTAAAAAAAAATTCACAAAAGTATCGGCTGATCCACAAAAAACATGCTCAGGCAACACGTTCGGTGAAGATATTTCTAGGAGGAAGCACATGCCCTGCAAGCAGACTGTTGATGACGTTTACCACTCACGCTACAGTCATTCACTTTCAAACGACCTCATACTCTATCATGACGAGAATAATCATATGTCGAGGATGTTCAAATGTCCAATGATCTCAACTTCAAAGCTTTCCAATGAAAGAACATCCTCCACTTCCGTATCGTCCTCTCAATCCGACCTGTCCGGATGCAGGCAAGAAGATAATCATGAAAATCACTTCAGAGACGGTAGACGCAGTGTGAAAGATTTCAATAGAATTAAGAAATTAAAAAACTTTCGGAGTCAAAGTGTGACTGCTGGTAATGAAAAGTACAGCCTAGAAGATTTTGAGACAACGCCCTCTTATCAATATGCTTCTAAACACACTTTCAACAGTAGAGTGTCTTGCAATAATGTGAACAAAGATATCACTTTGAATAAACAAAAAAACGTTGACAGAAAATGTGTTAATCGGAGAATTTGCCATAAGGAAGGGCATTGTAAAAAAAAATGTGGAGCGTTTCAATCATTTCTACTATCCTATATATGCCAACGCTATTTGCGCAGTTTGTAACGAAACGTCTAATCATGATATCAATGAAAAAATTAAACAGCAGACTTTCTATTTATCAAGCCACAAAAATTCATCTCATCGTCGTGATCACCATCACTCTGGAGAGACTACGAAAACTGCCGATGAGCAAGTTACTTCAAGAATGGGTTTCGTTAACAATGAATGCAAACGCAATCTGGAACATCTACTAGCAAACTATCAAGAGCCCATCAACGATCCATTCTATTTTTGCAAATTAAGTCGGAAATCAATATCCCATAATTCGTTGCATCAAATCACAAACAACGACCTCTGTGACAACAATCTTCAACAATGGCAAGAAATCATTTTAAAACCTGAAAAAATGAAATTTTTCGAAAAAATCATCTTCAATCGAATGAATATGAAAATTATACTGACGTAGCAAAACATCCGTACGAGAATTGTAAAACGAGTTATGGTAGAAATAATACTAGTGTCATTTGTCCTGCAGCTGATGCGAAAGGACGACCAGTCTCCAGGGGCGTCATTTCAGATTTTGGTTGGGGGGGGCGAACTTATGTGGTCTATGACTTAGCATGTAACATATATATATATATATATATATATATATATATATATATATATATATATATATATATTTACAATATTCTATAAATTCTACCGAATGTTTGGCGTTAATATGTTTGTAGTTCGTTTTTTCGATTTTTCTCACTGTTTGTAGTTCGT